CCAAATATTGACGTTGCTTCAGAAATTATTAGGAAAAAATCGAAATAAAAATGAAAATTGTACACCCTGTATCTCCTAAACTAAGCATTTTAGCACTCTTCAAAACAGTTAAAACACATGTAGGTGGCGCCACCTACAAATGGGAGTCGTATTGACATCAAAATCAAATTTCTCATGTCAAAAAATACCCATCCACCAATTTTCATCCAAATATTGACGTTACTTTAGAGATTATTCGGAAAAAATCGAAATAAAAATAAACTTCTACACCCTGTATCTCCGAAACTAATCATTTTAGGACATACATTTATACGAACTTTTTACTCATTATTTAGTTTTATCTGCAGAATATGTTGTAAAGAAGTTTCGGAACACAATTAGGTGGACCACCCCTACAGGGTCCGGCAATATTATTGACATCACTCAGTTTTATACAGGTACGTCACGAAAAGTTATTACACTTCGAAACAGTTAAAACATATGTAGGTGGCAGATTGTTATTTGGAAAAAATCGAAATAAAAATGAAACTTCTACACCCTGTATCTCCAAAACTAAGCATTTTAGACATAATTTATACGAACTTTTTTACCTATTTCTATCTGCAGAAAATGCTGCCGAAGTTTCCTGAATACAGTTTGAACCACCCTGTATATTTGAAATATTTAAAATTAACTGGATAAGTTCATTTTTTCAAGATTAAATGTTTAATTGAAATACCTTAAAATAACAATAATATTTAAAATAATTAGTACTTACATTTTACATATTAATATATAACTAATAACTAACGACTAATTATAATTGATTTTAAACTCTTTAATTTAAAATTATTTGTAAAAATAATAATTCAGTGCTTTTAAATTGCGTTTTTCGAACTCTGGTATACGTACTGGGTGAGTCTTAAATAAGTGCAAATATTTTCAGGACTGGTAGATCTCGATGAAAGAAACGTATTTTCTCTTTACCGTTTTTCACATAACAACCAAAACCAAAATAAAGGTGTTATTTAACTTGACTTGCTAATTTCCAGCAAAATTATTTTTTGATTAAATTTGAGAACCGCTGGATCTTTTCTGAGTTTCCTTTCTGGTAAATTTAATCTATTTCCTATGTTGCCATATTATCAAGAAATTATGGTCTTCAATTAAAACAAATCTTTTAAAAACGGCTTTTTTCACTTTTGAAACGCACCCAGTAGAACCTGGAAATTTGCTATTTTTGTAACCGATGATTATATTTAAAATACTTTTAGTTGTAAGAAGAAGGATTTTGTATAACCCGCATCGGCTGCTGACATTTAGCGACATTGATGTTAAGATTAAATTGTATTCTTTTTTATTATTTTTAAGAAACTATTGTAGTAACGTTACTTCAAAACACTTAACCCGATAAAAGGATGTACTCAAAGGTTTATTTTCATAATAATCTTCTAGTGCGGACCTGTCCAACACGACTCCAGGTGACTGCACTCTCTGGAAGAAACACGGGACCCGTCACACCCAACGAATTGTTATTCTTTTATTTTTGCACCGTTGGTTGATGCTTTTGTGGCTTTGTGGGACGCAGAGATTAGTCAGGCAGAAAGGAAAATTAAGGAAATCGAAAAAACAGGACCGTGCAATAGCGTGATGGGTTGGGCTGTGTAGTAAATTAAGAAATTGTTAATGGAATTTATTACGGTAATATTTTCTATTTTGCTACGTTTAAAGCTTGATTTTCATACATTCGTTGTCCGATACGTTGATACGATATTAATTTTATTGGTAGAATTTAAAGACTTGGATTGGTTAGAAAATAACGCAGTTTTTAAATTTATTGCATTTTCATTCCTCAGTTTATCGGATATACGTTGGTGTTATTTTATATTTTCGTTTCCATAACGATTTTGCTGTTTTACTAATATTTTTTATTAAGGTTAGATTAAATTTGTCAAAAAAGTGTCAAAACGTCCGTTATCGTATGAACGGGTCTACCCCGTTTGGCAACTGTGCTTATGTTTAAAAGCGGTTTGACAGAATTATAAGAAGAATTATTATTTGAAAGAAAATATTTTGAGCATTTTTCTTTTGATCCGCGATAATTCCTTTTGCTGTCGCAATTAGCGCGTAAAAATCTGATTCTGTATCTAACCGATATTTTTTTTCTTCGGGTACTAAAAATTCGAGACGCGTTTGTATTTTATTAAATGCAGTAAAATCCTCTTCTACACTTTTCAACCTTACTTCAATCTGGAAAATTTCATCGCGTTTGGTATCTAAAAACTGTTTAAATCGTTCTAGTCTTTCACAAATGACATTACGTGCGTGTTGAAATTCAGAAACTTCATTTTCGAGCAAAGTTTTCGAGATAAATCTGGCGTGGATGTGTTTTGTTTCGACTTTCGACCCATTTTTAGCTAAAGATCAGAGAAACTGTCGTGTTCTTTTCAATAATTGTAATATTCTTTCGTGCAAATACTAGAAACAGAAGTTAGTTTACAAATTTTCACCTTTGTTATGAGACAAGAATAATTAAACGTATTTACGAGATGCTTTTTTACAATACGATAACGAGTAACAACTATATACGAGAACTGATACCTTTTTTCTTTTAAGAATACGAGACGTAAAGCAAATAAATATATTTGACGTGAATTAAATAGATTTGCTTGTCAAAAAACGAGGAAATCTATATTAACGAACAACATATCAATACAATCGAAATAACGCTTTCTAACAATGATTATACAAACTACATGGAATAAAAGGATATTTTTTGCGGGACGGATAAGGGATTCTTTATTTCGTGGTAGGAAAAACGGGAAAATAGAACGAGCTCACCTTCTTTCCTCTTCGACTTACGAGTACTGCTTCAAAATGCTGCCGATATTTTCATCTGCGTGCCTATCGCCTGACGCTGGTTTTCATCCGTCTCGATCGGACCAAAATGTATGTTTCTTGACTTGAAGGACCACGCTTTATACAAGGGAAATAACGATTGCGGCGACACTACTTTTAATTAATTTATTACAATCAAAATGATAAAAATTACAACAGCAAATTGAGCCCGTTTTACGTGACGTGACAATTATTATTTTCGCGAATCCTTCTCTCGTCTCTATGGAACTGTAAACAAAACGGTCAGGCCTGCTCACAATTACAGACACTTTCCGTTTCTATCAGTGAAATGAAATTTAAAATAAATAACTAACAAATAATAAAAACCACATTATACGGGATATACTGTGTTAAAAAACAGTTAAAAAGAAACATTTAACATAACAATTAATAGCAAATAATGCTCTAATTTATTAACTTCTTTATAACCCAACTTCTGTTTATAATACTGTAAATAATTCTGTACACATCTTTGTTACTTAATAATACACTGTTATAATAATTATAATAGCTCCCGTATATAGCGTTTGACGCCTTGGGAGTAGCAAGGTGCAGCTTGCCATGCTAGAGCCGTTCGGTATACAAGGAAGGTAATGTGGCTAGCACTACGCTTCAACCGCCTATTATTACCTCAGGATTGTGAATCCCAAGTACTCATTTTAAGGCTGATTCGACCTAGGTACCCAAACTAGTTTTATTTTAATAAAAATAGTCGGCTGATGAAATGACGGGTGTAGGATGCGAATCCACGACCTTGAGATTGGTAGACGAGAGCCTGTACCTCTATGCCGCCGAGCAACTTTATAATACACTTTTCATTTGGTTAATAAAAATTTGAATCTAATCTTCCAGTTTCGTCTTTATTTAGAAACAAAATTGTAAAAAAAAATGTTACCTACTTTTAAGACACTCGCTTAAAAGATTTTGTGTGCACCTCGGCCGTATGATCTTTTTTGTCCTCACATGAAATTTGCTTCATCAACTGCTTTCATTTTCATTTCATTCCTGAAATCAACTTTACGGCCTTGGTATTTTTTGTGAAAGTTCTTTACGCGCGATTGGAGTAAAAATTGACACGACATGACGTGACCTTGGGCATGCCTTGACGCCAGTGGCGGCTCGTCAGAATAGGCAAGGTAGGCGGCGCCTACCCTTAGATTTTGGCAGAATTTAAGCGATTTATTACATTATTTACTATTAATGTTGCCATTACATAAAAATACTGTTAATACACGGAAGTGTGTTTTAATAATCAATATTATTTTAATATTTGTGGTCTTGTATATTAACATATTCACTAACGCTGCCGTATGCTGACTGCTGACTGTGCTACTGCGAAAACAAAATAATTTTGACCGTTGGAGTGCCTTTGTGCGGCGATTTCTACATCGCCTACTATCAGAGTCTATGCACGACGTACGGCCGACTTGTATCATTAACGGTATTGTATCATATTAAGGCGGGGCTTAGGCGAAATCTCCGGTCGCCTTCGCATGAAGTCATGGAGGCTCGGTAGGCTTAGAAGTTAAGGGGATATTCCCGATATATCATAAGGAGATATATCACATTTCGTTAATTCACATTTTATATGATTGTGTCACAATACTCCCAGATACCAATTTTCATCCAAATATTGACGTTACTTCAGAAATTATTTGGAAAAAATCGAAATAAAAATGAAACTTCTACACCCTGTGTCTCCGAAACTAAGCATTTTAGGACATACATTTATACGAACTTTTATACTTATTTTTATCTGCAGAATATGCTGTCGAAGTTTCCGGAATACAATTCGGACAACCCTGTATATTAGTATATATTTTCAACATTTTTTCCGCAAAAAAACCTCATGGGCGTCTTTCTGGGGTAAAAAACTTGCACAAATTTCTGGGTCACCCTGTATAAGAAAAAAAGAATGGAAACATTATTTTTAAAGTGTTTAACTATGGGTACAGAATTGTTGTGAATTTGAGTTTCCGGTGGAGAATTAACAAAAACATAACCAAAAACTAATTTTTTTAATTACAAAAAAAAAATAACAGTGAAAATAGAATGAAATAGAATAGAACTAGCCATTTAATAAGTTATAGTTGAGAATGTAATGTGACTAGTCTATTTGTTTTTCATTCTTCCTTGTTTGATTTGGTCGTTAGAATTTCAGCTATACACTGAAATTAATACATAAAATTTTATAAAAAAAATGTCTATATCTATGTGGAGGATTCATCTCGCCAAAAAATCCTATATGGGTATTTCGCCACTGCACTGCAAGAAAATCTACAAAATAAAATAGTTATTTTTTGTAAACACTTCTGCATTAAACCTAAACGGAAACTGCTTGTCAGAAGTTATGTTTACTGTTATACAAATTTGCCTAACAAAGAAAAATTGCTTAACGTTTCGGAAAGTTTATCCCTTCCGTCCATGGGCGCCGGACAGGGGGGGCATTTGCCCCCCCCCCTGGATCACTGAAACAATAAAAATAAAAGCTATCTTCTTACATCCATCTGTAAAAAAAATAATCATTATTATGAAATTGTTAGGTGTTACCTATAAAATAATAAAAAATGTGGTAATTATTGGGAAAACTGGAAATCGTCCGATTTTCACCAAAATTGGTATACACACTATTTTGAGGTCGTAGATTACGAATCTATTTTTTTCTTGGCGGTCTCTTACCGTTTTTCAGAAAAACGGAAAATTATTTCAACATTGAATTTTTCTTAATTTCGGCACTATAAAGTAATAATTTCACTATATTTTCATTATATTATAGTTTTTCTAAAAGCCACACTTGATTGGGGATAGAAAAGTGTCCAACATTTTACTGAAAAAAACACTTTTCTTAACAAAATAGCAAAGAAAATTGAGACCAGATGGAAGTTTGACATTTGATATATCCTTCTTTCTCTCTCCTATGTAATAAGAGAGACAAATATATTCTAGACCTAATCTAGAAATTTGAAAATGTACAACGTTGCCATATCTTCTATTTTTTCGGGTGATTAGGGATTTTAATTAAATTACCTATTATGAGATCGACAATAATTAAATATACACCTGGGTCAAAATCACCAAGGTGGAAAATTTCAAATTTGATTTTGTAATAAAAAATGTCATAAACTAGAATTATGTAAATTAGCTGAAATTGTCGATAAACTTCTGTAGAATTGTTACTGCAATAGTGCAAGCACAGAATAATATACTTTTTTTGAAATATGGTTTTTAAGGAGAGTGAATAGGAGAATCAGTCATTTCGTGAACGTTTTTATAAAATTCATGAAATGTCAAAAAAAATATAAATAGTTTTTATTTTCGTTATACAGTGACACACCTAAAAGTTTATTAAAATCAAATTAAACAAAACGTGTAATATAGTAATAGTAAAACGGTAAGAAGAAAAATACGTCTACATTTGAGATAAGTTACTATTTTTAAGTATACAATTTTAGTTTTGTTAAAATACCAAATGAATTCCTTAATAAAATTTACTTTACATACACAGAATTAAGTTTTATTAATGAATTATAATCTTTTATTAGGAATATATTAAAAAATGATCTAAGTTTTCCTTAATTTAGTAGTGTTCCCGAAAATAATCACGTGTTTTCGGAATGACGTAGCTATTTCCTGAACGACGGTAATAGTATTACAATGAAAGCAAATATGGTATAAATCGATGCATGGAAGTATAAAAGGGATATTTGAAATAATGAATCATCAATGTAATTTATTTAGTTATTTATTTTTGATATTATTGGTATTTCTAGTAACAAATTGTATTTGTAGTAACAAAAACATTAGAATTTTTCAAAAATATCAACATCCTTATCGTAGTAATAATACTCTTGGTTATGCTCTACCTTCATTCGTGGCTTTGGAATAATAGTTATTATTTGGTCAAAGGTAATATAAGACACATCATTTTTTCGTAGTTTAAACTTTCTGCTACTGTTACGCACAGATCTCAAGAAAGTTACTAGGATTTCCCCATCATCATTATCAACACCTGTCTGACAAGTGGCAACATATCTGTAAATAAGTTTCTTATTTTGAGTAGGTACTTTAATTAATAGAAATGTCCCAGATAATATTAAATTTGGATGTAAGTTTTCTTGCCCGTAAGATGTGCCAGCTTGAACATTGTTGTATGCATCTCTTTCAGTCTGCTGACGAGCTGAAATAGTCAATAAATCGTCTTCATCGGATGAAGATGAATCATAAATAGATTTATAAATGTTATATCTCTTCTTGACTTTCAAAAGGTCTCCTAAATCATCTACATCTATGGGATCTTCTATAAGTTCAGAAGATAATATCGAAGATATACAAGCGGTCTTGGTTTGAACTGAGGTCGCATTTAAATTATTAGAAACCATGGATAGTTTTAACTCCTTGAGAAAACGGTCATGTCGATACACTTGTACAATAACTTCTGTTCCTTTTTGCCAGATAATTTTTGTAATATTCATAATACCTGGTATGGAATCTAAAGTTTTCGGGACTAAGTTTTTTATGTTAGTTATATCGTCATCAGAAATCACTTTTAATTGGATAGCAGAATCTGTGAACAAATCAGCAAAGTCTGAGGCCGTTTTAATATCTTTTCCCATTAATACATGACTATCTGCAGTTCTCTTAAGATAGCCACCTACACCATCCATGGGTCCTTTGCCATGTCCAGGTTCACTGAATGTCCAAGATGCTTTTGCTATTTGTTTGTAGTCATTGATCAGGGTTTGTAGCCAGAGGTTTATGTTGGTACGGTTACGATATTGTGATGTAGGTCCGTCAGAATATATGTGAAGAGTGTTAATGTTTTTATTTTCTAAAATTAATGTGAGTATCGGTTTCATATGTGCCCAAACTGCATAGGCTTTATGGTCTAAATTTTCACTTACTGTAGCAAAAGATCTTGATGTCAAAGTTCTATCCACATTACGAAAATAATATACGCCTGTATGAATAGATAATTGATGTTTGGCAAAATGTGTGGACTGATTTCATTCGCATACTTAGTTGTGTAATTCTCTGAGAAATCTATCTGTACCAATATCTCTGTTTCAGTCAAATTTTCTTTCAACTCTTTTTTCATTTTGTTATAACTGTAAATGCCATAGATGTGTTTTTTCATTAGTGGAATCTCTTCAACAAAGGCCAATTTTAAATCTTTGACTGTGCTCGAAATTGCTAGCTTTTTTGTGATTTTAAATATCTTGTTTTCACCTTTTACAATTTTATCTTCTCTTACAGTCTTCCATTGAAAATATGTCACAGAATCTATATTATTACACGGCTCCAACGACTGAGTTTTACATTTGTCACACAAACCGTTCATGCAGTCGTACGAAGTTACGTCGCAACTGTACTCCTCCAGAATCTTTTCTATTCTACCATGATTAAGCAGTTGTAGACTTTTTAATTTATTAATTTTTAATTCAAAGTTTTCATGTTTGATACACAAACAAGTTTCGCGGTCCTTGAACTTTGGGGCTACTACCCAAAACGGCATTGCTCTAAGTAATGTCGCATAAGATAAATTAACCCCCGTCTCTGTAATGAATTTCGATGTCAGTGCTTTAACCGTGTATAAAAGGATACGTTTTTGTTTCTTAACACCACCTTTTATAACGAAATCTTTTTTACCTGGGCTCATCCTACTAACGTCATCTCTTTCAAAGAAGTCTATAATCTTTCGGCGTACTTCTGGCTTTAAAATGATTTCGCGTACTTTGGTATCAGATTCCAAAATCAATGAATTATTCTTCTCCTTCGGTAAAAATGTCTTAGCCATGTGGAGTAATTTGTACTTTCTCAGTATTTTGCCACTGACACACTTTTGGAAGACTTCCCTTTCTTTGGAATTTTTTTGTAATGTATCTGACTTGTCTTGTAATTGTGTAGTTAATGCTTCACAAAATAAAAGATTTTTGCGTACTTCAGGAGGCACATCAATATCTTTTATTAGGGCATCTACTTTGCTGTTGGGTGTTAAAGATATAGGTTTTAGTTTTGCCTGTTTTCTTTTTAGTTTTCTCTTTAAAGACTCAATTTTACGTTTCATTTGGACAATAGTTTCTTTTTGCTTTTTAATTTTACGGTATGCTTTGGCTCTATCTTTTCGAACTATTTTTCTTCCTACTTGTTTTCTTATTGAAGAAGTGGCTCCCAAATCATCATCTGAGTGTGGCGGTGTATTGTTTATTATGTTTGTTAAAGCTTTTTTCTTTTTCCTGTATTTTTTCGAAGATTTTTTCCATTCTTTTCTTTGCTTTCGTTTCTCCCGCTCTGTCATTTCAGCAATATTCTTCACTTTCTTTTCTGCTTTTTTCTTTTGATAGTATGCTCTGTCTTTAGCCCTCTTAATCTCTCGCTGTTCATCTGTCATCTTATCTAAAAACTTTCTGTTTCGAGCGTTAGCGTGTTCTCTTTGCCGCAAGTAGGCTGCACTATTTTTTTTAGTTGTTTTTTTGAGTTTTTTTTTCATTATTTCGGTCTTGTCCGACTCCATATTGCTACAAAAAATATCATTAAAGTAAAATATCATTTTCAAGTAATTTCATTACAATATTGTTCCGAATTGAATGAATCTGTCATTCCGAGAACGTCATAATCATGTTGGGAACGCATCATCATGTCCGGGAACGTTCCCAAAATGATCGTTCACGAAATGACGTTTTCAAATAAAAATGCGTTTTCTATTAACGGCAGCCATCATATACGCCATCTGAGACAGTTATCATAAAATATTTGAGGTTACTTTTGCTATACTTCATTGAAATAATCATTTTTCTGATATTGCAAACTAATACAGGCATTCCCGGGATGATGAACTATTGATGTACGCTCAATAAATAATAAATAAGAAGATACTTACCACTAATTTTTATTAATATTCACTATAAATACACGCGACAGCCGCCTTGATTATCGCCATATACAAAGACTGCACACCAGCGCCAACCCCCAGCGTTCTTAATAAATTATTTTTAGCTAGTTAAAACTGCGTTCACTGAAATGATGCAATTACTTCCGGACAAAATATTTTTCCTTCTATATATTGGAAAAAAAATGATGTTTGTATTTTTATTGTAAAATGTTAATATAAGATAAAACTATTCGATCATAAGTTATGAATATATGTAATATTGTTTAATTGATAGGCGTTCTTAGTACTTGTTTCTAGGGATCGTTACTTTAGGATGCGTTCTCGAAATGACTTTTTATGTACATAACTTGAAATAACTTTAAATATTATTTACATTTAAAGTATATTAAATAATGTACAGATAAAACGAATAAATTAAATTTTTATCAAAATTTAGTTATTCAATAACTATGCGATTTTTGCAAATTATACTGTGGCGAAGCGAATTTCGCACCTTCGTGATTTTGACCCACCTATATCCACAAAATTACGCGGAAGAGTTTTGATTGCATTGGTTTTAACTTCTTTGCGGAGGGGGTTAATCTTTTTTTAGTTAATCTAATAATATAACAACAAAAGATTAACACCCTCTGCATGGAAGTTGTAACCAATGCAATCAAAACTCTTTCGTTCAACTTCGTGGGTATAAATAGTCAGATCTCGTTGGTAAAATAGCAGTTATGGGAAGGAGCCGTTCTTCTGGCGACCGCCTTTCGTAATTCCAGAATGAACGAAAAAACACGCTAAATTTAGGTTTAGCATTGGCAACGTTGCTTTAAATGCCAGAAACACATAAACTTACTTCGGGTTTCTCTTATTACCGATTCTGAACCGTCCTAGAACTGTGATGCGTATGCGCAGAAGGAAATATAAAGACATTATTTCGTTTGCGCATGCGCTGCAGAGTTCTTGGACGGTTCAGAATCGGTAATAACAAGAACCCGAAAAAAGCTGTAATCTAACATTTTCAGATTGTTTACAAATTTATTTTAGCAAATTTTCCTCAATTATGCATAGAATTGGTTAAAAAAGTAACAGAAAATAGCAAAAACATTATTGATTATTGAATACCTAACAAAATATGTGCTAGAAAACCTTAAAAATATGAGAAATTAAGAAAAATTCGATATTGAAATTATTTTCCGTTTTTCTGAAAAACGGTAAGAGACCGCCAAGAAAAAAGATCGTAATTCAGATTCGTAATCTACGACTTCAAAATAGGGTGTATACCAATTTTGATGAAAATCGGACGATTTCCAGTTTTCCCAATAATTACCAAAAATGTCAATTTTTTATTCATTTTTACCTTCCCCCCCCTAAATTTCATCCTTCCGGCGCCCATGCTTCCGTCGTCGGAAGCAAAAAAAATTAAAAGAATAACGAAAAAAACTATTTAAAATATTTAAATTCAACTATTCGAGAACACTTTAGTTTTATAAAAACAGATACGTCTACAAGAAACCGTTGACGTTCTGTTAAAATGACATTATATCAGGTTAAATTTCAAAAATTAACAATTACTACCTGATAACAATTACTTAATAAAGGAAAACCAAAAAGCCTCAAACTTTCTGTATGATTATTTTTAAATTTCACGTATGTTATGTTTATTTATGTTATGTTCTTTAAAATCAAAAAAGCTATTGCCATACATTACTAACATCTACAGATGTATGAGCAATATATTTATTTTTATTAGATTGTATTAAAAAACCTCTTTTATTTTTCTGTTAGAGCCTATCGCTTCTTTCATTATAATTTTGGCGTTATTAAAATTTATTCTGTGCCCTGTGTCCCATGAATGCTGACAAATCTTAGGTTTGTGAAAATCTCTCTTTCTTAAATAATCTTTATGTTCTTTAATTCTAACATTTAAGGGTCTAGATGTTTCACCAATGTAAACTTTATCGCATTCACATGGTATTTGGTATATTACATTCTTTATTTGTTGTTCTGTATTCATTGGTTTAGTATGTGATAAAATATAGGTACATAAAATTTTATGTATATATAATGGTAAAACTATTACAATTTGTTTATTTACATGTTTATATTGCTTAAGTTATATTTTTCTCTTAAAGAACAGATTTTCTTAGGGTTTTTTACTTCTACTTTAGGACTTTTAGGATTATGATTTGATTTGTATACTTGTAAGGTAAATGTTACTATAAATGCGATATATTTTAATGCTTAAAACGTGTCAACATATTCACCAAGGACGCGCATATCACTGGAATATTTTTCCACAAAAAGCATGTACGCCACTGACTTCTCTACTGTTGGTAGCGAAATAGTGTAAGCCATTTAATACCGATTAAAAGTTGTCTCTTGCTATTTTGTCGATTTCGGCTTCCTTGATGAGATAAACGCAATTTTATTAATTTGCTTTGATTCAGGTCTAATAGCAACCTTTAAAAAAATGAATATCATTAATTTGCGAAAGTTTTAAATAAGTAACCATTGATTCCTCTTCAAAAAAATATGAAAAAGAAAGTTCCTATAAATATGGGTGTGGAAATGCATAGTTTTAAAATTACAGGATGTTAAACCTTTTTAAAATTAGATTTTTTATAATTATCTTAAATTTTATTATTTTTTACCCGACCATACCAACAGGTATGGTGGGCTATTAAGATCGGCAAAAAAAAAGTTTTTTTTATTTCACTCAAAATGAGTTATATGGGTCATAAATGACCTAAATACAAAATATTTTCATGGTGTCTGTCTGTCTGTCTGTCTGTCCGTCTGTAACACGATAACTCAAAAACCGTTAAACCGATTTTAACCAAATTTTTCACAAAAATACTGTGGCACCCGAGAATCTGGCCATTAGTTTTTGGTGGGGGGTGGGGGGAAAGTAAGGGGGTATGGGAGGGGGTTAAAAATTTTAAAAAAGCTTAACTCCAAAATTACAGTAGCTAGCGAAACGCTGTTTTCAATTTAAGATTAGGAATAATATTTGTTACAAAATTTGTAATAACATCAAAATCAGTCAAAGTCGCAGTTTTTGAGATAAAAAAAATTGGAAAAATTCCTTTACTTTGAAACTAAAAGAACTGCCTACCAACATTTTATTAACATATTTTAGTATGGGCGGCTATACGTGCCTCCCGGCGCCAATTTTTTTTTATTTCAGTTTGCTTTAGGACTAATAGTAGTAATATTTAATAATATTAAATTAGATAAAATAAATAGTTTATTAATTTTATTTTTATTTTATTTTATAAATTGAAATTAATAAAATTGCCTTTATCTCATCATAGAGGTCGAGATCGACAAAATATCAAGATATAACTTTTAACGGCCTATACAATTTTGCTATTAAAGGAAAAAAGTCAGTATCGCACATGTTTTTTTTTCGAAAAATATTCCAGCGATAACCCATATGTACGTCCCTGATGAATGTATCGACACTATTTTAGCATTAAAAAATGTAGCACTTATAGTAACTTCTTAAACCTCAAACACCCTTTTTTTCGATCGTAACGATTAAATTACAAAAAATTATTTATTATTTATAGAAATAACAAATATTTAGATGAAATAATCGGTTAAAACGATTTTCAGAATCGTGTCTTCTTTAAAACAAACAATTTCCATAAGCTTTAATTTTATAAAGTTATACATTTTTAATATTTTCACCATTGCATTGCATCCAAGAAATAGATTTGTTGAATCTAAATCTAGAATATAAACTGTCACACTTTATATCGTCATATCTCGTGGGAACTACCAAAGAACTACTCTATTCCTAAAACAAACCAGAATTGTCAATAATCTCTTCCTTTCTTCGAATGTCCATTGAAATTAATTGCCACTCGAAGCTTGAAAAGAAATTACCGTCAACGTCCTCTTCGAAAGCTCTTTATCGACATACCGGGATAACAAACTGCACCAGACTGAATATTAATGAAGGCGATTTCCGCCCAGACCATCTACAACCGGTCGATTCCATTGACTCATAAACAGTTTCTTCACCTCAAGCATCATCGAAAGATAATTACGTATAGAAAAACGCCGCAAAGCTGCAGGTAATTGCAACGTCATTTTTTAAAGTACCTCTGTTTAATATAGTTTTATTTTTTCCATAGCAACTGTTGAAATTGTCTTATATCTATAAAAATAGTAGATAAAATAGATAGTAGACATAATAGATTAAATGATACTTTAACAGTGAGGATAGATTTAAAACTTTATTTCTTCTCGCGCGTTTTTTAATTGCTTCCATTTCTGAAAATTTTTGTATACCTTTTCATAAGTTATTCGGGATTTAAATGGAAGTAGTTTGGATATGGCGTTTGTCGCCTCAGCCTCAATATCTGTTGGTAATTTACTTATTTCGTTTTGAGCCATTTCTAGCTCCAATTCAATCAGCAATCGACACGAAAGAGAATTAAAAAATATTGACTCAAAACTGACAACTAAAGAGACAGCTTTATTTATTTGTTAAATTACATAGAAACCAACGCCAACCAAGCACAATATTTTTTCTACTCGTAATAAATTCCTTGATATTTCTGAATATTTTTTAAAACGTAACTCGCTATGGAAAAAAAATATTGTTTTATACACGACGATAAAATTGCATTATCGTCTCCCGAAATTTATTCACTCGCGATTTCATCGCTCGTGAATTAATCTTTTCGGTCGACGATAAAATACCATTTTATCGTCTTGTGTAAAAAATAACTATTTATTAATTTCCATTTTTCTAAACTAGAGGATGTTAATCAGTTACCTAGTAGTAGAGTCAACTTTATGTTGCATTCACCGACCTAGACTTTGCCTACTAAAGTAACCTTCGACTCTAAAGAGAGATGCTCTTTGGGAAATTATGTAAAAGTTCGGAGTACCCAAAAATTTCATAGTGTCATATTATGGATAACTGAGCGATATAGTAAATAGCGGCCACTGCGAGGGTAACTAAACTAAGCTAAGAATATGAGAAAACAAACGGTAACTAAATGGGAACTCCACTGGGAACGATATTCGCTCAGTAGTCAGCTAAGTTTTCGTATTGTATCTCTGC